TTTGCGCAAGAGGGGAACAACTGAATTAAGAGTCAAGAACGGTACAACGAGTCTTCTTTCTCTAAAACTTTAATGAAATGTCAAAGCTTCAGCGCTTCACGCGGGAGGGGGGAACTGAACAATTATTTTCCTCCTAATCCCGGGTTTATAGGGTTAAATTTGTAGACATGAGGACATTGACTATAATATATTTGTCGGTAATTCGTGGCTAGTTTTAATAATAATAATAATAATAATAGCTCGTTCTTATATAGCGTTTTGTCGATGATCAGTCGTCTCTACACCCCCTACCCCTACTGAAAACGTAGGGCGGGCTCCTGGATACTTATCTGACCGTTATTTAATGCCTTCAAACCCCTGAGCTTCCTGGGCTCCGCCCCTGTTCTCCCACGCCAATTTGTGACCTGCCAGTGCCACAGATATCAAAATATGCTCATCTGACCGTAATTAAATGCATAAACCCCCGAGCTTTCGGAGGCTCTACCCCTGGGCCTCACCTAGGGCCCGAAGGCTGGCCCCTAGATGCTCATCTGACCGTTATTTAATGCGTTTAAATCCCTGAGCTTCTGGGGGCTCCGCCCCTGGACCCCACGCTAATTTACATCATGCCAGTGTCACACATAAGGTATCAGAATATTCTCGTCTGACCTTAATTAAGTACCTCAATCGGTGGAGGATCTATATACGGGGGGGGGGGGGGGGGGGGGAGTTTATCCCCCCCTCCCTTGGGCTGCCAAGTGAAAATGTGTTGCATAGACAAACGCCATATTGTGAGATATTTTTATGATCTCCATTGTGTTAGTAAATGCCCCAAAAACATTACTTACGGGGGGGGGGGGGATACGTGCGACATGAAAACAATGATGGACAGGGTTTTGCTTCGCATATAAAAGCGTCCTAAACTAAACTAGGTTTGGTCTGGACGGGGGTATGCCGCTCAAGCCACAAAACCCCCTACCCATTATTAGGGGTCAGTTTTGGGGCCTTTTTGGGGTGTTTGTTTTGGATGTTTGCATGGCAAAAACCCGAATTTTGGATTTTCGGAAATTTTGAAAAAACGGACACATTTTTAATGGTATTTTAGTTAAAAGTGGGACCCATGTTTAGGTTTTTGTGTGAAAAGGTGACCCATTAGAGCTGCACACCCCCGTATGTCCTAACATGAGTACTACCCCCCCCCCTGATTACGTCATCTTTCCTACGCCTGTCCAGCATGCATTTCGAGCAACTTGTACGTTTCTATGACGTCCCCATACCATCCTTAGAACACAAACCTCCTCCAGCTATAGTGTAGTCGAAGCAAATTAGGCCCCGCCCTCCAAGCTCATTTCATCTCTCTCGGAGCTCCTGATACCGATCATGTCGAAATGATTATGATGCTTGATTATTTTATGTACATCTGCTCGTACTTCCATTTGCTAAGACCGTACCTTATGAATTTGTAAATCCTTTAAATGAATTGTTAGAATATTTTGGGAAAACTAGTCTTGTAGTGCGTTGAAGTGGAGACTGAGTGTGTGAGAGAGAGAGAGAAAGAGAGAGAGAGAGAGAGAGAGAAAGAGAGAGAGAGAGAGAGAGAGAGAGAGGTCGTATTGCAACAAAAATACACCTTGTAAAGAGGAAAAAACATTCCTGATGGGGGTTTAAAATTTTAAGCACAATTTAATCATGAAAGACTACAAAGACCTTTAGTAAGAAACCTAATTTTATCAACTTTAAATTAGAGCGAGCGTATAGCATAATTGGCACGTATTACAAAAGAAAAGGGCAATTGTTAAAATAAAATTAGCATCTCTTAGTTATGAATACGTGCAACTAAAATAGGTGAAGGGGGCACTTGATTATCATAGGTGGAAAGAGGCACTTATATGTATTGTATTGTATTGTATTTATTAAACATCATTGATGTACATCAATATTCTGTTTATATGAATGTAGAAGGTGGCACTTTAGGGGTACCAAAAACAGTAGGGCACCCTTTCCCTGCCTCTGGGTTAAGGCATTTGATTACGGTCAGATAAGCATATTTTGACACCTTATTTGTGACACTAGCACGCAAAGGCTGAACTTTTTGAGGGGGGGGGGTGATAGAGATAGTTATCCGATATGTATGGATAATTCCCCCACCGTATCACAACTTTCTCACAACTATATTCTTTCTTTACCTTCATCGGCATGATCAGGTAGGTCATACGAGCGAAAGACGAGAACACCTACTTCAGAAAGGTTGTCCATTCTATCATGTTAATATGCGACTTTTTGACATGGGGAATTTATATATCCCCCTTAACATAACTGGAAACAGAAAAGAGCATGTACTGATATTGATATTTGTGTACGATTTCTGTATAAAGAGTTTCAGGTTTTAATTGTCAAAATTACACAAGAATGAGCGACTTGTGAGTAGACTAGTATGCCTTTTATTCCGCCCACGTATATCAAATATTTCTCTTTGTGTTCTCTATAATACATAATCGTTAGAGTAACTCATGATTTCGCGCGTGATTTTATTACTGGTTAATGTTTATATAATCTTTATCCAACAATGAAATATGACTTTCGGTTTCGTCTGAAAACGTTCATGATTATTGTTTCCCGAACCTATATTTCAGTTTTCATTACTAATTCAAAATATATATGATAACCACAATTTGTTATGAAAAATCCGAGCGTGTATTCACAGCTCAAAATGAGGCTGACCGTTTGCAGCAAAGGATACAAATTTGTTTACGCTTATATTATATGAGTTTGTGTTATCATAATATAATCAAGATCGATATATTCCGACAAGAGAGTACCTTTCCTTCTCAGAGGTATTGACGTCATGGCTTACTATTCAATCTTGTACCCATTGCTCGTCATTTGTCTCCTCGTCAGCTCGTCCTTTCAATCTTTACATCCACACGATGGAGATTCGGTGATGCCATTCTTCACACTGGACATGGACAAATCTTTCCATGGATGTGATCAGAACCTTGAACTGAAAGAAGCTTCTTGCAGCAATAAAGACCTGGACACGGTTCCCCAGAATCTTTCTGAGGATACCGAGGTGCTTGACTTATCTAAGAACAATATCACCAAACTCTTGAACTCCTCGTTTGAAGTATACCCTCTTATCAACTCATTAGACATTTCTTATAACGATGTAAGAACGATAGAATCCGCCACTTTTTACCCCCTCAAGGGCTTAATGTACCTGGACCTATCCGCTAACTCGCGTCTTGTGCTTGCATCGACAGGCGTCTTTAAGATGTCTTCACAGCTTTCCATTCTCGTATTAGCATCATTAAATTTGGAGTCGCTCCCCAATGACATTCTAAAAGGGATTCAAAATCTAGATGTTGCTGATCTGTCCTCCAACCAGCTTTCCTTTATCAATGTAAGTTCTTGTGGCATGGTCGACACTGTACTCCTGACTGGTAATCTACTACAACACCTTACGGCGAGCGATTTTACCTTTTCGTGCCACACCGATACTCTAGATCTTAGATATAACCATATCCAATCAGTAGACCCTGATGTGATCGCATCACTACATGTTCGATCTTTGAAGCTAGGTGGCTATCCTTTGAGTTACGAGGTGTTGGCGAACATCATCCTCGGAATCTCAAAATCAGACATCGAACAGCTTGCGATCCAAGAAGGCTCTATCGTTGCGTTTCCTAAAGGTTTTTTTTAATCCACTACGCGATTCTTCCCTCTCTGTTCTAGTCTTCTTCAGAAACGAACTGCATAGCCTCCATCCTTTAGTCTTCTCAAATTTGACAAAACTCAGAGAACTCAGTTTCAGTTATAACAAATTTTCCATAGACGAAATTCAACCAGACTTCATTTTCGACGGCATGAATGCATTAAAGGTACTGATACTCGAATACAACCAAGTACGACAAATAAATCCTCACAATCAGACTTGGACAGTGGACTTATCGGAGTTTGACTTATCCGGTAATCTGTTTACAGAAATATCCGCATCTGTATTTCACGGTTTATGAAATTTAACTCTCTTAGACATGAGCTGGAACAAATACCTTTCTGTCGTTGAGCTGACGGCCTTTTCGGGACTTGACAATGTTCAAACCATTGACTTGACCGGAAGTCATTTAACTGTTCTGGAATTGAACATCCCAATATTAAGATCACTTTCCCTAAACTCTCTTCGTTCAAACATGTTTCTTTTGCAACCAGGAGAATCTTTTCAACATTTACCGTCCCTTTTTAATTTAGACATGAAAGACTCCCATCTTCACTTTTGGAACTTATGGAATGAAGATAGAAACGCGTCTCTTTTCGATGAATTATTGGATCTTTATCATTTGGACTTGAGTAGTAACCCTGACCTGACTTCGGGAAGTGAGTTACCGCCAGGGATATTCCGGCAACTCTGTGTTTTACAAGAACTAAAGCTAGACGACTGTGATATTACAAATCTACACCCTCTTGTCTTCTCGGGGTTGGAATCGCTTAAGAACTTGAGTTTAAAAGGAAACAAAATACTGCATATTCATGTTGATGTATTGTCGGGGTTGGGTCAAATAAAAAGTATCAACTTTGAAGAAAACCGTATCGAGTACTTGGACGAGCTAATGTTCTTAAATAACTGGAAGCTCACAAATCTTTTCTTGGCCAACAACAAATTAACGCGCCTTAATGAAAGCACTTTCAAGCCGATATTTTCCTCTATTTCATCACTTGATATATCAATGAACCCAAATCATTGTAACTGTGATCTAAAGTGGCTTATTGGTTGGTTAAATAAAAATATACGCCTGAAAGACAAGGACAAAACTATCTGTTCGTCAACATCTCTGGAGCCTCTTCGTCAGAAGCCCCTGCTTGATTTTGATCCGAATGAACTCTGTATAATAAAAAATGGTATATTTTCTCTGATTCCCCTCGCCTCCATTAGCTTGGTTGTAATCAGCGTCCTGTTGTATCACTACCGATGGCAGTTGAGGTACAAACTATTTTTCTTGAAACTGGCGGTACTGGGCTATAAAGAGATGCGAGACGCTCGAGACCACAATGACTACGAGTTTGACGTGACCATAATTTTCTACGACGATGACGAAGAATGGATTCGCGAACAGCTCCGACCGGCTCTCGAAGAACGGCTTCCACAGTTCCAGAGGAACGTCTTTGGTGACCAAGACCTTGTGGTGGGTATGCATTACTTAGATTCCGTCGATTACGTGGTGAGCCATAGTTACAAGACCATCATAGTGCTAAGCAGAGCTGCTGTGCGCGACCACTGGTTCATACTCAAGTTCCGTACGACCATGGACCACGTGAGTGACACTTTGACTGAATTCGTAGTCGTAGTTTTCCTCGAAGACATCCCGGATGGTGAAATGCCATTCTTGGCGAGGTTGTACCTCAGTGACGGCAGACCCTATATCCACTGGACTGAAGACGTGAGAGGACAAGATTATTTCTGGGAAGAATTGACCAAAAATCTTACCATTAATCTAAGGACGAATGACTTGATCCCAAACGAGTAGCAGTCATGTATGAGTCTAGAAATACGTGTGATTGTTATAAATGAAAGTTGTAGTAATAATAATAACGATATGCCGTATATATAGCGCATAGCACAATTTGTCTCCATGCGATGTAAGAAAGATTAAGAAGGAAAGGTGGATAGCGTAACATAAGGAGAGTGTGGTATGCTCAACATACTTCCTCTCGTTAACATTAGAAAGTATGTTTAAAAATAAATGTTTAAGACGTGTCTTAAAGTTGTCAACAGCATCACGATTGTTTTCATAGTTTTCAGTAGTTTATTCCAAAGTTCGGCCGATGCAACCTGAAAAGAGCGAGACCCGTATAATTTAGTATTGATATGTGGAATGGTGAGGAGAGACATTGAGTATTATTATTATTATTATTATTATTATTATTATTAGTAGTATTATTATTATTATTATTATTAGTAGTAGTAGTAGTATTAGTAATAGTAGTAGTAGTAGTAGTAGTAGAAATAGTAGTAGTAGTAGTAGTAGTAGTAGAAGTAGTAGCTGTAGTAGTAGTATTAGTAATAAGCGTAGTGGTATTAGTATTAGTCATCGCGCTACTTATATTCTTACTATTATACTTTTATCATCATAATTATCTTCTTATTTTTCTTATTCACTATCATCAGTATCATTATCATCGTTATCATTAATATTATCATTGTCATAAGTATTATTATTGTTGTTATCATCCTCGTCATCATTACCATCCCCATCACCATTATTATTGTTGTTGATGATGTTGTTGTTCTTGTTTCTGTTAAAGGTATAGGCCTACATTGAAATTAAAATGTTAGAAAATCGGTAAGATATCTGGCAATCAAATCCTCGTAGTGACATGGTCGGATGCAAATCTTTAAAGTACTTGTATCGGCAGTTTTTTTTCTTCATTCAATATAATGATTGCAATCCCCATGACTGCAACAGTATTATTTCATATTTGCTGAATAAGAGAATAAGCATTTAAAGGTTTCTACTTACTGATTCTATTACAGCGCACACTACACAATCTGATTGCGATCCGATTTCGGAAGAATTAACAACATCATTTTATAAGAGCATTCCAACATGTAAAATCTTAATAATAGAGGATCTGCTTATTCATGTTATTACTAAAATTGAATTTTAGGGGTTTAGTATAGTATAGTATAGTATTTATTTTCCGTTTTAAAAACAAACATATAATACAAGTATATACATAGTGTAAATAAAACGGCTGGATAGCCCATATTCAGCTGTGCCAGGCACGACACTGCTGGTCTTCCATGGGGTCCAGAAATCATATACATAAATATAAAATATGACGTACAATTATTTACTAAATTAAAGGGTATAAGAAAAGGTTTCAAGCCTAATTGACGGAGGAAAAGTTAAATCGGCTCAGAATCTTAGTGACGTCATACCAGTATCACGATTGTCTACGATTTAAAGCCGTTTCGGAATAAATTGTGACTAAAAATGCTTTAAAGCACTAAATTGATTGCTGTTTAAATAGGGTCCTTACCATTATTTACAATCGAAATCAGCAAAACGTTCTTTGCTTACATTTCCATAACTAATATAATTGCCATTTCTTCAAAAATCGGATCGTGTAGTGTGCGCCGGTAAGTCGTGTACGTATTTATGGAGAAGTGAATCCCTTCAAGATAACCAAAAATCCACATCCATGAAACCTCTTTAACCAAGAACTTTTCTTTAGACAACGATTTGGAACATAACACGAGGAGTTAAGCCTCGGTCACAAATGCCATTACGAACTGCTACGAACGCTGTATACGAACGATTTTCAGACACTGGAAATTCGGGAAGACAATGAAAAAACAGGGAGATTCGTACGAAATTATCGTTCGTACTAACATTTGTGACCGTAGCATAATATTGAAAGTTCGAGGTAAAATTAAGGTTTTTTCTCATTGTCTCATTGGCTGTTTTACAAAATTATATCTCAAGTCTCTCGGTGTCAATGAGATTTCCTCAAGAATACTAATCTCTGAACATATAGAAATTCTCGCCACCGAACACGTCGAACATGACTGTGTAATAACTTAATGCTTTATATATTGTATGTACTGTAACAAATCAGTGTTTTAGTATTGGACGAAGGTTAAGCATTTTCTGTTGTACGAGCATGCGCTATAGCAATATGGTGCATCGTTGATTTAGCAATTACCAAACTGAAGGAAAATGAGCATAAATTACATATTTTGATCATGTTGGTGCAATTATCATGTTTCTTTTGGGGATATTACTTGTATAGTAGTGATCTAATCAGGAATAAGGGGTTATACTGAAGATTATATGTGAAGATTTTATGGGATTAGCAGAAATATTGTGTTGAAGTGTTGTTTTACTAACGAGGACATAATTGTTCTTTTACACGTTTATGTATAGGGAAATTGTTACGATGGTCAGGGTTGTGCATCTAGGGCTTACCACTGCACTGTATCCGACACAGGCCAGCCTCACCGAGGCTGGCCTGATAGTTGGCCTGATAGTTGGCCTGATAGTTGGCCTGATAGTTGGCCTGATAGTTGGCCTGATAGTCTTACACCTAGTCTACACTTGTACTTGTGTTGTTCGAGTTTACCCTGAATGTTGGTTGGTTTGCATTAAAGGAATTCAACATGCAACTCATGACTGGCCTGATTTCTTAGACAGTGAAACCGTAGTTAGATAACCAAGATCGAGAATCAGTGACTGATTGGTGATTGATTGATTGATTGCTCGAAGGATGTTCAATTGACTGTTGCTGTGCACAACGATTGGGGTGACCGATTGCAGTCGACGGATGCATGATTGTTGAGATACCCCTAGTACCTGTGAGCAGTGATAACTCCAGCCATCAAGCTACGGGCATATATTTTGTCCAAACGAACGACGGGGAGCGCCAGGCCGGACACGGGCATCCTGACAAATACTTCGTGTCAAGCCAAGGTGGCAGAATCGTGTCCGTTACAGTACATTTCTGTAAATTATGCCAGTCACAACAAAATTTGCTTGTTTTTGAAAGCATTTTTAATACTTCACACATACTTTCACATTGTTGTATGATAGTTAAACTTGCCAGTGTAAAACGCTGTCAGTGTCAAAGGAATATTATATTGTATTACAGCAAAATTATATATACCTGTGTTTCTCACAGTTTAGACGAAAAGGTCACAACTATGGATGTACCAAGCGAGAAAGGAGGATAGGGTGTCCCCTTCCAATTTGAGTATTTTTAAACATGATAATCAACGTTCTGTTGCACTTTTTAAGTAAGTGAATTGGGCCCTGATTCATACAACTTGTTATCAATACAGTGAATGCAATAAAATTCATGCCTTTTTTTTTTTTTTTATTAATATCGATATATTGTGTTATTGCTTGGTGTGCTTTATGTTGTCTTTAGACTTGTCACTATGCTTCTAAACAGTACGGGATCATGGACATATTAGTTTTGCATATTTTGTTTTGATCCCGCCACACTTACATTGTATGTTTTTCAAGTCGTGTAAATTTGTCCTTTTATCTTCTGTATTTCTGTAGTTTTACTTTTGTATATATTGTTTCTGTATTTGTTATGCAAATGTGGAAATAAATCAAGTTCAATTCAAAACAATTACAAATGCTAAATTTCTATGACAAATTTGCTCTCAGCCAGTCATATGTCAGGATTTCAGTATATAAGCTCATTACAGTTATTCTAACTTGTTATTAATTGATGACAAGTTTTATGAAATAAGGCCCTTGTTTTCTTGTTTTGTTTATTAATATGAGCGTTTGGGGAAAACTTGAGAAACTGAAAACTAGCTATCTTTTTTCTTATTGGAAAGAACTTACAGAAGATAGTGATGATGAGAGGGATTTCCGTCTTACAGCCAGGAAAATTAAGGTCATTATTTTTACCCGGAAAGATGGACGATATTAAACTGCATTAACGCCCGTAGAAATTTAGTCATACAATCAACAATGCTTCCCATTCCATTCGGGAGGGGGGGGGGGGGGGGGGAGATAGTGAAAACGGTTTTTAGTATGTCAAATGACATTAACATCACCACTTCCCCTTCTTTTTATAGAGCCATGGCGATTGTTTTAAAAATTCTAGTCATGCTAGCTACTATATCCGCATTAAAATATGTAATTATTAATTTCTTGAACAAAATTCTTTAAAACATTAGTCTGTGCTAGATATCCTTGAAAGGATATGTGCTCCTGAACGCCCGTAGAAATTTAGTCATACAATCAACAATGCTTCCCATTCCATTCGGGAGGGGGGGGGGGAGATAGTGAAAACGGTTTTTAATATGTCAAATGACATTAACATCACCACTTCCCCTTCTTTTTATAGAGCCATGGCGATTGTTTTAAAAATTCTAGTCATGCTAGCTACTATATCCGCATTAAAATATGTAATTATTTATTTCTTGAACAAAATTCTTTAAAACATTAGTCTGTGCTAGATATCCTTGAAAGGATATGTGCTTTCTATACATGTAATTATATCATACTTGCGGGAGTGTTCAAAACCTCGAACCCCCGGCCGCCAGTTCGTACATAACTTCGTAAATGTTATCAGCATAACTTGGAAGATATTTAAAAAAACAACACCATGATATCAAGAGAAAGATAAATGGAATGGGACAGACATTAAGGGAAGGAGAGGGTGGGTGGTGGGGGGGGGGGGGTGTGGAGAGGAAACAGATACAGAGAGAATGGAGGTGAAATATAGAGAATGATTATGATGATATATATATATATATATATATATATATATATTTATAAATAAAGACAGCGAGAAAAAGAGAGAGAGAGAGAGAGAGAGAGAGCAGGCACGTAGCCAGAGTTTGATGTTTGTGGGGGGGGGGGGGGGGCACATACATACAAAAAAGGGGTCTAAAAAGTTCAATCGATCTTGGAAATTTTAGGGGGGCACGTGCCCCCCCCCCCCCCGGGTGGCTACGTGCCTGGGCGCCACCCCCTTAGACTACACCAGGGGGCCTAAGCCG